ACATAGCAAGCGTTTCAGTCTCCCCGCTGTTCTTTGAGTGCCTCTTCTAAGTGGAACATCATATATGCTATTTCTTCCTCCAGAGTTTTCTGATTTGCAAGACGAACAGTAGGAGGCTATTCATTACCCATGGACAAACATCCACTGTACTTCTGTGAGCCGTGCTGGCGCCTTCCCGGATCGACCTTGTGAAGACATGTTGGCCTTCCTTCCCTTTCATCACCTTTCCCTTTTGATTCCCAGAAGAGTCCTGGCTTTATTTCACAAAGCCTCCGTGCTGGTGACTTGACCAATATCCTTTCCTGTCTCCTTGTTCTTTTACAGATGAGTGATCTGGCAGTAAATGAACCCAGGTTGTATTCATGGTAAATGGCTCCTGATGGAAATTTCTCAGTGAATTATCTTTACTACGAGTTTGGGCACTTAGCAAGAGAGTTCCGGAACTAGGAATACCGGAGTTCAAAAGAACAAACTTAGTACAAATGGAAGGCACAGTGGTGTAATGAGTGATTGCTCTGGTGGGGCATTTTGTGTTCCTTAATCCCACCAGGTAGGTAATGATTAAATTGTATTAATTTGTTCTAAGTAAGCCTCATTCTATTCCAACAGGGTGGTATTTAAGTTTCCATAGTTTGCTTTTCATTGTTAAGCCCGTATCAATCAGGATAGGCAAGGCTATACTGCGGTAACAAAGGACCTCAGAAATCATAGGATTATTTTTCAATCAGTTACTACTGGGCAGGAAGTCTCTGCTAATCATAGTTACTCAAAGACTTTGGATGATAGAAACTTTCTCAACATGTGTTTCCATGAACATTTCGGATGGAGGAAGGGAATGAGCTGAATCACATCCTGGCTCATCCATTCTCCGGATAAAATCTCATGACTGTGCCTAACTTCAAAGGAGAGACAAGAAATGCAATTCTATTATTCACCCAGAAGGAAGAGGCCAGAAATATTCAGTGAATAGAATGAATAACGTCTGAAGCAATGTATAACCAACCGTTGGGGGAAAAAAAACCTGGCCATTTTAGTAACAAGAAATAACTACAGAAACCCCTCTTATAGCCAACGATGAAAATCCTGGTAGAGTTATTGTAAACACTTTCATTTGACTCTGAAAGAAAAGTGGTCTCTGAGGCTGAGGGAATTCACGAACAAGGGGCAGGGTGAAGGGAAGCCGTGGTTGTCCAGGGACTCTAGCAGCTCTGGGTGTAGCCCAGGGAGTCGCTGCTCCCTGGGGACCAGGAGCTAAGGCTTAGGGTCGGAATTGAGGTAGAAACCATCTGTGACCAGAGAACAGAACATCTTTGCCTCTGAGCTTGAACGATGACAAGGAGACAAGCCGTCCACTTGGGGGAAAGACAGTTTCCTGTGACAAATGGAAGCTTTGATCCTGTGCTGATCTTATTACCAGTTTCGCTCAGGGTTCTCCTGGGTGGTGCAGTGCTTAAGCACTGGCTGCTAATGGAAAGACTGGGGGGTCAAGTTTACCCAGAGGCACCGCTCAATAAAAGTCTGATAACATAGTTCAGAAAGGGCATAGCCAGGAAGGCCCGGTGGCCCACACTTCTCCTCTGAAACACCAGGGATCCTCCTTAGTCAGTTCAAGGTTCTAAGTCGGCTTCAACTCATAGAAAAAGTGACCCAAGTCATAAGAGCACCCTGGGTCCCCACAGAACCTCACTGAAAGACAACATTTGGCTAATATTTGGACAAAATTCCCTCTGATCATTTGTATACCTGCAGGTTTTTTAATGTAGTTGTAGTCTGATGAGAGTGGATTTTCAAAGCATTACTGGAAAGAAATGGAAGTCACTGAACATAATTGAATTCCTGTAAGACCGATTTCCCCTGTTTGCAGCACTTGCATGGCACATGGCAAGTGTTCTGTTTCCCTTTCTTCTTCTGCACGATGGCTAGTCCTCTCTGCTGTCAAAAAAGGCACTAAAATAATAATAAAAAAGCCACAGAGAAATCTAGACAAGGATGGAGAAAGAAAATGCGCCTCAGTCAGAACCCTCCAGGCTGCTGCTGGCCCCAGGGTAGAGTAAGACGTGTTCAACGCTCTCCATTCGGTTGATTTATGCAGGCATGTCTCTCAGCAAAGAGTCTTTCTCATCCTCTCCACATCTGTGTCTGATGATTTTCTGCTTCAGGTCTAATTAGACTGGAAGATGAATGATTTCTCCAGAGATGCTGGTGGATATTTGTTGAAGGGATTATACATCTGGAAGCTGTTTAGATACATTCGGTGTTAACCATTCTCTTCTTCCTGTGCAGGAGGTGTAATGGGGACAGAGCAGCTTGAGTCTCTTCAGAATCTGTGTGGTTACTTATGTGAAGAGGTACTTTGGTAGTCACTGCGTACAGCCTTTCCTTGGGCAGAGTGGACAACTTCTCCATGTCCGGTAGTAACTGACTCATTATTTATGCCACGTATCACTGTTTCATGAGTTCCATAAACTTCTTCTCCTTGAGGGTATACATAAAGCATCAAGTGGAGATCTAATGATAGCATCTATTTTTAAAAAAATAAATCATTTTATTGGGGGCTCATACAGCTCTTATTACAATACATCCACCCATCCATCCATTGTGTCAAGCACATTTGTACATTTGTTGTCATTATCATTTTCAAAACATTTTCTTTCCACATGAGCCTTTGGTATCAGTTCCTCATTTTTTCCTCTTCCTCCCCCACCCTCCCTCATGAACCTTTGATAATTTATAGATTTTTTTCATGTCTTACACTGACCAATATCTCCTTTCACCCACTTTTCTGTTGGTCTTTCCCCAATAAAATGATCACCATGATCGGTTCTCCCTATCTCTCCCCACCTTACCCTCACCCTCCTGGTATGGTGACTCTCAATATTGATCCTGAGGGGTTGTCTGTCCTGGATTCCCTGTGTTTCAAGCTCTTGTCTATAACCATGTACATGCTCTGGTCTAGCCAGATTTGTAAGGTAGAATTGGGGTCATGATAGTGGAGGGTGGGGAAGGAAGCATAAAAGAACTAGAGGAAAGTTGTATGTTTCATCGATGCTATACTGCACCCTGACTGGCTCGTCTCCTCCCCGAGACCCTTCTGGAAGAGGATGTCCAGCTGCCTACAGATGGGCTTTGGGTCTCCACTGCACACTCCCCCTTCCCTTTCACAATACTATGATTTTTGTTCTGGGCTTTTGATGCCTGATACCTGATCTTACTGACACCTCGTGATCACACAGGCTGGTGTGCTTCTTCCCTGTGGGATTTGTTACTTCTCAGCGAGTTGGCCATTTGTTTATCTTCAAGTCTTTAAGACTCCAGACATGATATCTTTTGATAGCCAGGCTCCATCAACTTTCTTCACTACATTTGCTTATGCACCCGCTTTGTCTTCAGTGATCGTGTCAGGAAGGTGAGCATCATGGAATGCCAGGTTAATAGAACAAAGTGTTCTTGCATTGAAGGAGTACTTGAGTAAAGGGGTAGCATCTACTTTTTAATGATAAATCTGGTTTGAAAAATGCCACAGGGTCTCCTCTGTCTTAAAACTATGATTTCAAACTTATAAGACTGACTTCCTTGTTATTGTGAGCTGCTGTTTCATTGACCCAACTCCTGGTAGCCTCATGCACAGTCGAAGGAAATACTACCTGTTCCTGTGTAATTTTCATGATAGGTTGTGGATGAGGCAATTGTGATTCACAAGGCTTTCATGGACTTATTATTGATTATTATAATCTATTGAAAATAGATTGGCATATCTTTCTATTTAGTTTGTCTTCAGTGGAGTCTGGAATCTTCACTGAAACGTGTTCAGGGTCGTAGCAGCAAACAAGCCTGACAGATGGGTGGTAGCCATGCATGAGGTACATTGGCTGGGGATTGAAGCTGCATCTCAAACATGGTAGTGGAGAACCACTGCCACTGAGCCATCACTGCCACATTTTGATTGCCAAACTCACTTGCAAAAATCAGGAAGATAGAATGGATTGCTGCCTGATTATCAGCTTCTGAATCTTCATAGCCTTTAGAATTCAACACACAGTTATAGCCTTACCCTACTCAGCACACATGGGGTCACCAAGAGTCTGAATCCACTCCACAACAACTAGCGACAACAGATTTTATCATCACTCATTGGTATATTCCACTTACCTTTCTTCACCAGGGCTTCAGACTGGTTCAACACTAGATGAGAGCTAAGCAGACCCTCATGTTTACAATTTGGCGTAGGAGAAGGATACCTGCAATGGAAAAATTATGGATTATGGATTGAGAGAGGTGTAGTGGAATAAGAGAGAGGTGTAGTGAACCCAATTTAGGTGCCTGTGTTACTGCTAGGACTGTGAAGAGTGAAACACATTCAAACCTCACAGTCAGCCACTCTTGAGGGAGTACCATTGTTCCTGAAAGCGTTCAAGAGATTTGGTTGCTATGCAACATGCACACTGCCTTTGTTTTCTAAAAGAGAGATTACATTTCTAGGAGGTCATCAACAAATAATTTTTACAAATTCAGGTCTGTCCTGGATTTGCTCTATTGATCATGACTGATGTAGGAAGAATTGGTTTAAAGACCTATTCTTTTTTTTTTTCCCAGTTTAAATGGATAACTTTATTGTTCCTTTCATAGATCATCGACTTGTTCCCCTCCCTACCTCACATTGGAATTTCATCATCTTTCCATGCCAGCAATGAATCAGCAGCAAAGCTAACCGGGGTAAGCTGCTTCACGAGGACTATTTAACCGGCAAAGTAGAAATATACACCTAGAAAGCACACCGGGTTAGCCACTACACATTTAAATGGAACTTGAACAATGTGGGAAAAGCAAGGTGTGGTAAAGAGGAGCCGAGGTTCTGTGAGCCAGTTATGGGTTCCTGGTGCTTCCTCTCTCGGCCACTGGCTGAATCTCGACATGGGAGAAGGTTTTCGTAACACCGAGTGGAGATATGAAAGAAAGCACTCAGTTGACAGGATTGCACAGGAACCAAGGGCAGGGGAACACTAAACATTGCTGACAGCCTCCACCCCCGGAAGGACTTTACCTTCCCGGAGCTCCAGACTAGCACCGCCCTCAGGGCTCACCTGGCTGACTTTGTCCTCAGTGTTCCATGTGGCCCAGCAAGGGGCAGTGTCCCCACCACCTATGCTGGTGATGCAGCCCCCGGAAGTGGCTTTGACCACCTCATCCATGAGAGCTTTGGTTCCCCGGGCAAAAGCTTCCCATTCAAATACCCCCACAGGTCCATCCCACACAATCTGCTTAGCCCGACCAACAGCCTCAGCATACTTCTTGCTGCTCTCAGGACCACAGTCCAAGCCCAGCCAGCCAGCAGGTATGGCGGAGGCCACGGTGGCTTGGCCAGTCTTGGCATTCTCATCAAACTTGTCGGCAGTGACAAAGTCAACAGGTAAGGTAATCTTCACACCGTTCTTCTCTGCTTTGGACATTAGGTCCTTGACAATCTTTGCTCCCTCTTCATCAAACAGAGAAGTGCCAATCTCCATGTTATTGAGCACTTTAAGGAAGGTAAAAGCCATTCCACCGCCAATAATCATTTCATTAACTTTATCCAGCATATTATTGATCAGTTGGATCTTATCTGCAACTTTAGCTCCGCCCAGGATAGCCAGGAAGGGTTTCTCTGGGCTCTCCAAGGCCTTGGCAAAGTAATTCAGCTCCTTCTTCATCAAGAAACCACCAGCCTTCTGTGGCAGATTCACTCCCACCATGGAACTGTGAGCTCGATGGGCGGTGCCAAAAGCATCATTGACGTAGACATCCCCGAGCTTGGAAAGGGAAGCCTGGAAGGCTTCTACGTCGGCTGGCTTGGCGTTAACCTTGTTCCCAGAAGCATCGTTTCCCTTCCCTTCTTCCTCTACATGAAAGCGGAGGTTCTCTAGCAGGATGACAGAACCAGCCGCTGGGTCAGCACAGGCTTTCTCCTCTTCTGGGCCCGCACAGTCCTTTAAGGAAAGAACATCCTTGCCCAGCAAAGATCGCAGCTCTACAGCAACAGGCTCTAAGGAGTCTTTGTCAGGCATGGGGATGCCATCCGGTCGGCCCAGGTGGCTCATAAGAACAACTGACTTGGCTCCATTGTCCAAGCAGAATTTGATGCTTGGGATGGCAGCCTTGATCCTCTGGTTGTTTGTTATCTGGTTATTCTTCATAGGAACATTAAAGTCCGCCCTCATGACCACCCGCTTCCCTTTCACGTCCAGCTTGTCCAGAGTAAGCTTGTTAGAAAGAGACATCTTGGCAATTCAGCAGTGGCGAGTGGCTTGCAGCTAGGAGGCGGCAGCGCCCGGACATAGGACAAGCGAGGAGCACACGGGCAGCGCATGGAAAGCAGAGCCCTAGCTCACACCGCAGGCAAAGACCTATTCTTAACACATGGAAAATAATTCATTGCAATTGGGTAGAACCATAGGACTAACTCTGGCTAATGGGCTGCAACAGGAAGTGAAGAATGTCACTTCTAGGCTGAAGCAATAAAGATCTAATTAGCTGCGCTCTCTGCTCCTAATGTGGTGAGCCTTGAAGTCTTATTTTTACAGGAGGTGCCTTGGACTGAAATAATCTAGAATTTTGACTCCGAACTGGAAAACACGAATCTGGAAATATTTCAGACCCCAAACAGTTTGGTGAGTGAGCAATAGTTTGATGAGTGAGAAAAAAATGTTTGTGTGCTAAACCCCTGGGATTTGAATGCTCATGTTTACGGCAGCCTATCAAAGTATATTCTGCTAGATCATGGGACTGACTAGAAGAAATATTAAGCACCCACCTTCCTGGCTTTGAGGCAAGTTCAAGAGGGCAAAAGAGTGAACACGATAGAAGCAGGCTTTGATGCCGAGGTCACACCTCCTGGTTAACGTGTTGCAGAGAAAGACGAGTCTGGTATTTCTCTTGATGGGCTGAAGCCAGTGGGAAAATGCAGAGAGGGCAGGAAAGTGTTAAGACCATGTTGTTCCCGATAGAGAAGTAAGCAGAAATCTTACAGTGAGTACTGGACACACTTCTGGTTTGCACACACATTTTCAACTTAACAATTGCAGATGTTTGATAAGCCTACTTTCATAGAACTACGAATGAATATGCTCGCTTTTCTTTTTTATTGGTCATGATGAATATCCTTTGGTCAGATGCAACGTTGGTCGGTTTTGATGCAGGGATGATATGTTCTCTTTTGGTAAGCTTCTATTGTTTTACATTCAGGAAATTTCCCATTGGGGGTTGCCTGTGGAGTGTCTACAAAGGCAGAACAAGTTCTAAGAAAATGAGAGATGTTATCATTGTCAAGGGGATCCTTCGCCTCAATTAATATTTAATAGCCTACAAAGCCAAGAAAACAGAAGTTTACCATCTTAACTTCAAATCCTTTGCACTTCTTAAAGGAAAACCAAACAAAATTTTCATGTAGTACACAACGTATGTAATAAATGACCTGGCACCCATAAAAGAGAAATTCATTAGTGATTTTTGGTGTGTCATTTGTTTGGAAACCAAAAATAAAATTAAATGTAAAGAGGCCAACTCTCAGGGCCTGGTTAGTCTCCTACCAAAGAGAATTTGGACTGTCTTACTCACTTCATCTTCAGTAGTCTCATTCTCAATTTGATTATCGGAATCTCTTTGGAAAATCTGTGAACCATGTCGGTGGAGCTCTCTTAGACCGGGTTTCGAACCTAGCATTTCATTGCTATTGTTAGGTGTCATTGGATAACTTCTGATGGAGAGTGGACCCAGGTGACAGAGGAGATCTGTCTCCATAGGATTTTTCTTGACTATCTTCCTTACAGAAGTAGTGCACCAGATATTTCTCCCACAGAGCCCCTGGGTGGGTTCAAACTGCCATTTTTTTTTTCATATCGCAGTTGAGGACTTAATCATGTGCCATCAAAGTTCCTTCCAACCTAGACCAAGAGCTTAAAAGTGGTAACCTTGAAAAAAGTTTTGTTTGGCCAACACTGAGCCATTTGGGTTTGAAACAATGGTTTCCCAGTATGGGATACACTATTTCTGGTACACCCAAAGCTATAGATTATATAAATAATATATATTATTTATATATATATTATATATATAAATAATTATATATATAAACAATATATAGATTTTTAATGCAAAGGGGACTTTTAAAAATGAATGATGCATGTTTTTGTTAGATACCATTATGTTTCAAGTCAGTGCTGACATCTGGCAGCTCTAGTTACGACAAAATGAAATATTGCCTGATCCTGAGCCATCCTCACGATTGTTATACTTGAGCCCACTGTTTCAATCCATCTCAGGGAAAGGCTTCCTCTTTTGGGTTAAGCATATTTACTATGCTTAATATCCTCCTCCAGGAACTTGTCCCTCTTGATAACGTACAAAGACCATTCTTACTTCTCAGGAGCTGTGCTCCTGGCTGTTTTTCCCAAACGAAATAATTTATTCTTCTGGAAGTCCATGGTACACTCAGTGTTCCTTGACAACACTTGAATGCATATGCATCGATTATTCTCCAGGATTCCTTACTAATTGTCCATATATCACATGCCGGTGTGGCGATTGAAAATACCATGGCTTGCGTGAGGAGAACCTTGGTCCTCAAAGTAACATATTTACTCTTTAACATTGTAAATAGGTCTTGGGTGGCAGATTGGCCCAATGCAATATATCATTTGATTTATTGACAGCTGCTTCCACAAGCATTGATTGTGGAGCCAAGTCAATGGAATCATGGACAACTTCACGTTTTCTCTGTTCATCATGATGTGTAACAATCCAGTTGTGAAGAGTTTTCTTTTTTTTAGGCTGTAGTCTTTGTTCTTCACAAGGAAGGTCTTCAAGTTCGCTTGGCTTTCAGAAAACAAGCTCCCATTATCTGCATATTGCAGGTTGTTGGTGAGCCTCGCTGCAAACCTGCTGCCAAGGTCTTCTCCGTATCATCAAGCGTGGATTATTTGCTCAGCATACAGATCAAATAAGTATGGTGTCACCTCGACACTCATCTTTCCTGATTTTAAACCAGCCAGTATTCCCTTCTCTTCAAAAAGACTATCTTTTGGTCTAGGTACACATCCCACAGTGAAGTATTTTGGAATTTCTATTCTTTGCAATGTTACCTATAATTTGCTATGATTCTCACAATCACATGCCTCTGTGTAGTCAAGAATACAAAAGTAAACATCCTTTTGGTATTATCTGCTTTCAATCCAGATACCCCAGGCATCCACAATGATATTCCTTGTTTTATAGCTTTTTCTGAATTCAGCTTGAATTCGGTCCTCTCCCTGTCAATGTACTTCTGAAACCATTGTTGCATTATCTTCAGTAAGATTTTACTTCTGTGAGACATTAATTATAGTATTAGATTTTTTTATGTTACTTTTCTCGGGAATGGGTACAAATATGGATGTTTTTCAGATGGTTGGTCAGGTAGCTGTCTTACAGATTTCTTGGCATAGATTAGTGAGTGCTTTCAGCATTGAATCATTTTGCTGAAATGTCTGAGTTGGTATTCTGTAAATTCTTGAAGTCTTGTTTTTCACCAAATCCTTTAGACTTCTTCCTTCAATATTTTAAGTTCTTGATTACATGCTGCCTCCTGAAATGGTTGACTGTTGACCAGTTCATTTTTGGTATGACGACTCTATATATTCCTTCTATTTTCTTTTGCTAGTTTCTGCATTGTTCAGTATTTAGCCTATAGAAACCTTCAATACTGCAGCTTGAGGCTTGGATTTTTTTTTCTTTAGTTCTTTCATCTTGAGAAATGGTGAATGTGTTCTTCCGCTTAGTTTTCTAACTCCAGGTCTTTGCACATGTCATTACCACACTTTATTTTTTCTTCTTAAGATCCCATTAAATTTTTTAAATTATTTTTTTAAAGATCATTTTATTGGGGGCTCTTACAGCTCTTATAAGAATCCATACATCAACTGTATCAAGCATATTTGTACATATGTTACCATCATTATTTTCTAAACAATTTATGTTCAGTTCTTTTACTTTATTATTTATTCCAGTCACTTTAGCTTCTTTGTCTTAAAGAACAAGGTTCAGAGTTGTTTATTATACACATTTTGTTCTTGTCTTTCTTCTCTGTTTTTTTTTTAAGTCACCTTTTGCTTTCTCCATGCATGCCGCCCTTGATGCCATCTCATGACTCACCTAGTGATCAGTCATGAATGTTCAACATGCCTAACCTACTCTTAATATAATCCAGCTTCTCTGATGATTTGCTCAGCATATAGGTTGAACAGTGAGGGGATACAAGCCTGATGAACACCTTTCCTGATTTTAAATCAGGCACTCTTCCCTTATTCTGTTCTCATGCCTGCCTCTTGGTCCATGTAAAAGTTCCACATGATCACAATGAAATGCTCTGGAATCCCCATTCTTCTCAAGGCTATCCCCAGTTTATTATGGCCCACACAGTCAATGCACAGTCAATGAAGCACAAGGAAACAATCTTTCTGGTGTTCTCTTCTTTGAACCGAGGTCCATCTGACATCAGCAACGATGTCCCTTGTCCCACACCCTCGTCTGAATCCAGCATGAACTTCTGGCAGTTCCCTGTCAATTACAGCTGCAACCATTGTTAGGTGATCATTCCATAGTTTGAGGATTCTGATGGGTCACCTTTCTTTAGAATGGGCAAAACCTGGATCTCTTCCACTCAGTTGACCAGGTAGCTGTCTTCCAAATTTCCTGGCATAGACAAAGGAGTGCTTCCAGTGCTTTGTCAGCTTTCTGAAATATTTCAACGGGGATTCCATCAATGCCTGGAGCCTTGTTTTTGGTTAATGCATTCAGTGTAGTTTGAACTTCTTCCTGTAGCACCATTGGTTCTTGCTGATATGCTACTTCTTGAAGTGGTGGATTGTTAATTAGTTCTTTTTGATGCCATGACTCTCTGTATTCTTTCCATCTTCTCTTGATGCTTCTCGAATCATTCAACATTTGTCTAGAGAATCTTTCAAACTTGAAGTTCAAGGCTTGAATTTTTTTCTTGAGTTCTTTATTTCCAACTTTTGCATTCTAATCACCAAACACTATCAATGTATGTTTGATTAATTTCTGACTAAAATTGTTGATAGAATTCTTCAATTTCCCCATCACTAGCTTTTATGATTGGTGCATAAAGATGAGTAATTTGGATTGGATTTCCTTGAAGGTGAATACATATAATCCAATCATGGATAGCATTGTACTTCATGATGGATTTAGCAAGATCCCTTCCAACAAAGAATGCCATTTCTTTCCTTTTGATTGTGTTATTCTTGGATTAGTAAATCATGTGATTGATTCCAACTGGCCAATACAATTGAAATTGGATTCATGGCAAAGAGTGCAACATCACGGTTGGAGGAAGG